TTTAAAGATAAGGTAGCATTGGATCTGGACGGTAAGGAGAATAACGCTGGAGTTGGAAGAGGTGTGTCGCGATTCTGTAGGTTCGTGGATCTGAGTTGTGTGGCGAATCGCGATTTCGGTTTCATATTGCATATCGTTACAGCCCAAAAGTTAAGTTCTACTTAGTTATTTTGGTGAAAGTAACTCAAAAGTAATACATGAGTAATGTAACGCATTACAATTCTGAGACAGTAATATTGTAAGGTAATGAATTACTTTTAAATAACAGTAACAAGTAATACCTAATGTATTACAGTTTGGAAGTAACTTGCACAACACTGGTCCTAAAGCTACATTTGCAAAACCCGCATCCTTTTTCCTGGCCATGGCCACGTCCATAGTCTCCTCTTTCGCTTCCTCCTCTTTTTTTCAAAACCACAACTGCCAAAGTGTGATTCATCTTGCTCTATTTGTTTACCACTAGTGCATGCTGATGATGTTTTATTCTTAAGAGGTGTCATAATCGTACAGTCTACATTCATAGCCAAGTTTATTAGATCCATGTTGTACAGTGTGATTTGTAATGATCTTATATGATTGCTGAAACCGCAGTCGGTAGCCGGCATTATACATCAAGGGTTCCATTGTGTAGAGCTTTCATTTATAGGTGAGTTATCTGTGTCATCAGCACCGGTAAATTACTTCAAAGGCAGCTGGGCTGCTAAAGTACGTTACCTCAAAAGTGAAGGTCAAGGAAGCCCTCAAACCATTTCCTAACTGTTATGAATAAATCATAACCACGATACCAGACGACTCAGGGTGGACGGTGGATATTTCTTTTTTGATGCGTTACAGGAAGTGGAAGGCTTGCAAATAAAGTTGCTGTGAAACGTATGTAAGGGTTGCATGTCTGTTTAAAAAAAGAAAGAAAGATGAAATGTTAGTTTTGAGACTTGAATGCAGAATGATCTGCTTTCTTAACACATAATGAATAACCTGAAGTTTTGTTGAGGCCCCGTCCACACTACTGCGTGTTCGTTTAAAAATGGAGACCTTTTGCTACGTTTGCACCTCCCGTCCAGACTAAAACAGAAAAAACGAAGACCTAAAACGGAGAAGTTTAGAAACGCCGCAGCTCCGTTTTGCGTTTTGAATCTTCGGAGGGGGTTTGAGTGTAGACGAAATAAAACAGAGGTGTTCAGAAACGATGACGCAGATGACGCTCGGCTCTATGATTAGTTGTCATCAGTCATGACGTATCCTTCCCTGATTCGTCAGCCACTGTTTACACCGGCACGCGCATGCCCGTTTTAATGTGGACGGAGATCAATTCTAAGGCCGTGCATCCACCAAAGCGTTTTTTGCCAGCTGAAAACAGTAGACGTTCTGCTGAAGACGCCGAGCTATGGGCGCTTGACAGCGTTTTGTCAGCGCAGCGTTTTTTCCGTTGAGACGTTTCGTTGCTACAGAATATCCGCAGCACAGTTTACTTGTAACTGATTTCGCAGATAATTTGTTTCATACTAAAAAAGTAATTTTTCATCCATTTTGTTCGGTTAGCTCTGTTGGATGATGTCGTTTTACAGAAAGAATTTTGTGACAGTTGGTCAGTGTTGTTTAGTCCTGCCCGTCCTCCACTGTGATTGGACGGCTGGGTAAAAAGTGACAGTGATGAGTGCTTCGTTTTATCCAAAGTTGAACATTTTTCAACTCCGCTCCCATTGAAAACAATTGAAAACGTACCCCAGGCGTGCGGAAAAACGCTTTGGTGAAACATACAGTTTCATACACAGATGAAACGCTGGTGGGGACGGAGACGAAAACACAGTAGAAGGGTCCTGAGGTCGAGGTATTGGTGCTTTATTCTACCAATACAACTTACTGGAGGTTCACCTGTTCAACTGCTCGTTAATGCAAATATCCAATCACCCAATCACATGGCAGCCACTCAATGCATTTCATGGTCAAGACCTGCTGATGTTCAAACTGATCATCAAAATGGGGAAGAAAGGTGATTCAACGGACTCCGAATGTGGCATGGGTGTTGACCCAGACGGGCTGGACTGAGTATTTCAGAAACTGCTGATTTACTGGGATTTTCATCCACAACCAAATCTAGGATTTACAAAGAATATTGAGTGAGCGGCAGTTCTTTGGGCGAAAATGCCTTGTTGATGCCAAGAGGAGAATGGCCTGATTGGAGCTAGAATTCAAATAACCAGTTTTTACAACCGAAGTCTGCAAAAGAGCATCTATAAACTCACAACACGTTGAATCTTAAAGCAGAGATGAGCTACAGCAGCAGAAGACACACCAGGTGCCGCTCCTGTCAGCTCAGATCAGGAAACTGAGGCCACAATTCACACAGGCTCAACAAAATTGGTGAATAGAAGATTTAAAAAACGCTCCCTGGTCTGATGAGTGTCGATTTCTGCTATGAGATTCAGATGGTGTGGTTATAATTTGGAATAAACAATATGAAAGCATTGATCCATCCTGCCTTGTATTAAAGGTCCAGGTTGGTGTTGGTAGTGTAATTGTGTAGGATATTTTCTTGGCAAACCTTTAGTACCAAGTGAGCATCGAATACCTCAGCCTACCTGAGTATTGTCGCTGATAATGTCTATCCCTTTAATGTCTATCACAGTGCGTCCATCTTCTGATGTTCACTTCCAGCAGGATACTACGCCATGTGCTCAAATCATCTCAAAATGGTTTCATGACACTGATATACAGTAGTTAACTTAACTATACTCAAATGGCCTCCAGAGTCATCATGGATTTGCAACCGACAAATCTGCAGCAACTGCATAATGCTTTCATTTCAATAAAATCTCAGAGGAGTGTTTCCAGCACCTTGTCGGATCTATTCCATAAAGAATTAAGGCAGTTCTGAATTTGACTACCTCTAAAAAAAAGCCAGATGTTGTAACAATCAAGTATAAAGTACTAACATACTTTCCATACATGTTGGATCCAGTGCACACATCTCAATCATTATTGATTGATTGAAATCATCATTATCAAAAACATTTTTATATATTTTAAGGGAATATACATTATTATGCCACCTCAAAAAATGACTTCAATTCAGGAAGGTTAAGCATGTTCTTCGAGAGGTGTTTTCAAGTCATTGTATATGCATGAAATGTTTAATGTTTTATGAATTCTTAATGATTTAATTAAAAACATTTCTAATTCAATAATGGTTCAAAAAATGAGGGTCATGTCATTGGACAACTTTTGTTTCACTCATTGTCTCATATAAACTTCAGAGCATAGATAACATAGATTTGCAACATATTTTCTAACTATGTTTTTGTCTTTCATTTTAATGAAATGATTGAATGAATTTAATGTAATTTTCATGGCCAAGATGGTATAATGTTGTGCTTAAAAACAAATAAAAAATTGTAGCTCTCATACTATATATATATATATATATATATATATATATATATACTTCACTGAAAAGATCAAATTATGTGATCACCCATGTGGATTGAATGTCTGATCCATTTTACCATTTGACTTCAGTAATGTGAGAGATCTTTATTCACGTAATATCTTTCATTGTCATGAGAGATGCAGAAAACCCTCTCACACGTGTAACTGTGTCATCAACTGTATCAAATTGGTTTTGCCATTTCTCCACACAGGCAGGGCGTTTCTATAAAGTAGGATTAAAGGAGGAGGCTTTTTCAGGCATTTGCAGAATTTGTGTCAGTGGAGCTTCAGCACGCTCTAATATAGCATCCCATCCATTTCTGTATACTCCCCCCCCCCCCCCTCATTTGCTTTTGATCTGCTTTGATCTTTTAATCCCAAGGATCCAATCAACAAAACAAATCTCCCATCCACTAGATATCACCACCCTTTTATAGTAGGATAATTCTCATATGAAAGTAAAACTGTATTTTGCTAATGAATAAAAATTTATTCTCTAAATGTTTAAAGATATCTCATGTAGATAGTAAGATGTAAATCAAAAGCAGCAGCACTTTTTAATTACTTAATGTGTTATGCTTGAGGCATGCTTATAATAACATGCAACCAGAAAACTCATATTTCACACTAACATTAAAAAATACTTTTTTTACAGAACAAATATTTTTCTTACAGAAAATAAAGCCTGTTTTAGGACAATTAAGATTTTTTAGACTCTGACATTAGTTTCAATGCAGAATTCCCCTTCCCCGAATAAATGAATGAATGAATGAATGAATGAACGAACGAACGAACGAACGAACAAACGAACGAATGAACAAATCAATCAATCAATCAATCAATCAATCAATCAATCAATCAATCAATGATTTTTGTGGAGCTAAAACACATCACATAATTACATAAAATAAAATAAATCACAAGGATTAAGAATTAAAACAGACTAGACGCCTCACTCACTGTAAAAAAAGATCAAAAAGTTATGACAACATATGTTTTTACATTGCTTTAACTCATCAAAATAAGTTAAACAATGTTCAACTTTTTTTGTCACCATATAAGATTCAACTCATCTTACAGTCAGTGTAAAGTAAATTAAGTTGAATTGACTTCCAAGTTGATTGTACTTAAAAATTTAAGGCAGCAACTTTTTCTTTTTTTCACGTTTTAGAAAGAGGTCTGTTCTTAATCATCATAGTCAATAAATTGTGGCCAAATTTTATGATTTTGTTTTTTAAGTTAGCCTAAATTACATTTTATTATTATAAAGGTGTTCATTTTTGATATCCACATCAAAATGAAATTTCTTGTGCCTGTGTGACAGTGAAATAATAATAAAAAACATGTCTTAGCTGATATGGATTTATTATAATAGGTTATACAGCTGTTAAATTTTGATATTCGAGAAAATGTGTATGACAATGAAATTTAACATATTTCCAAAAAAAAATCCCAATACTAGCCTACTAAATAGGTAAGTAAGTACACAAATGGTTCCATTTTACGCATGTAATTCACTGCATCCACCCCTCTGACAGCCCTCGCATGGTGCATTCCAGGAAGCTGCACTCTTCTTTACTGAATTAAATCATCTGACGCGCGCAACGCGCTGTCTCCCTATTCTCATGTGGAATGAGCCGTTCGAGCCGGTTCGGTTGCCCGAGCAGCAGCAGTAACAGCAGCGGCACTGAGGCACTGAGACACTGAGGAGCTGAGGAGCCGAGGCAGGTTGTTTGAGGACTGAATGTCGTGGTGACTTCTGAGGGGACTCGCAGCCGAGGACAGAGAGGCTGTTAGGATGGCTTCAAACTTCAACGATATAGTGAAGCAGGGTTACGTGAGGATTCGGAGTAAGAAATTGGGGGTGAGTATAGTCAATATCTGCTGGACGTTTCAGTGTGGTCAGTAATTTTGGGGCATCTATTTTAAAAAAAAAGGGGCTTTCAGGAGCGCGCGCTTATCAAGAACATATCAATGTGCACGAGCAACTCCACTTTATGTTTTATTCTTAATAACCAGTTGTTTCATTTTCACCATATAGCCTATAGTTTAAATCCTGGTCTGATGTTATCCATCTGAACAAGTATACAATATTCATTGATGTATTGCTTGTGCTTTGAGCAATTATGGGTTGTTTAAAACAAAACCTTGTCAACTTGTTTTACCATAAACATAATATTTGCTTTAAGCATGATTATTTATTTATTTAAACATGGTTTATTTTTAAAGTTATAATTGCAATGTCTGTTAAATTGATGAAGTTTATTACATTTTAAGGATTTAACCCAGGAAACTGCTGTCTTCAGTAGTTTCTTTGCCTATACATTAGATGCAGCATCATCTGTTTATTGTCCTCCTGATGCTGCAGCTGTGAATAGAGTGAGTACTGTAGGTCATCAGGTCTGTGTGATACAGCAGGTGAAGTCATCCAACCAAGAAAGATTTCACTTTCTTATGCTATGGTGTGATAACATGAAATCTATGCTGATTAGTTTTATAGCAGCGTACAGGGTTTAATGAGGATTTTACCCCAGAATATGTAGTATCTATTTAAGTTTATTGGCTAAAATGTATTAAATATTTTTTTTTAAGTTTTGTGAATTGTTGCTATCTGTAGCAATGCAGTTTACAATGCAATACGATATAAATTTCAATAAACAAGTGCAGTGGAGTACATTATGCACTATACATTATATACACCACTTAATTACACATATAACTTGTGTATATATATATATATATATATATATGAAGAGTTCAGATGCAAAAGCCTCTAAATGCCATTTGAAATTTTCTTCTTTAAGGATGATTTTTTATCAAACTTGTATATTTAAGTTCAGTAATTTCACTTAAATAACAATTAATAGGTAATTATCATTGCCATTTAAGTGAAATTACTGAACTTAAATATACAAGCTTGATAAAAATCATCATTAAAGAAGAAAATTTCAAATGGCATTTAGAGGCTTTTGCATCTGAACTCTTCATATATATATATATATATATATATATATATATATATATATGTATACACACACACACACACACACACACACAGTCAAACCAAAATGTATTCAGACACCTTCATAATTTCTCACAGTTTATTCGCTATAGTTAAGAAAAAGGTAATAGAAGAGTTATCTGATCAGTTGATATTTCACTGGTTTTGGTCATCCTTCTGTGAGACTTCTCACAAATGAATTAGATTGAATAGCTGTCAGCTGTTAAATTTAAGTACACAATTATATAATATCAATTTAGGTCAAGAAATTACCAAGCAATGCTTAATTTTTTTCAATTTGTGGTGTTAAAAGGTCGCATTTGCAATTAAAGAAAAAAACATTTCAGCAAAATATGGTCAGGTCAATGTGTCTGAGTAATATGTGGTCCCAATTTTTTTTTGACTGGTAGACCACTGTATAAAGAATTTTGGGCTATAATATGTCACCGTTTATTTTATTTTGCTATCCTCACCCACATAAATTAACTATAGTGTCTTGCACCCAATAGTAAAGAAATATCAAATTATATCTGGTGTCTCAATAATTTTTGGTTTTATTTATTTATTTTATATAATAAATGAAGAAATGTGTATATAATTTCTGCATTTATTATTTATTTATTTTACTTAAAAATGAGGGTAAAGTATGAGTGGTAACAGTTTTTATTCTGCTACTATATTGTATTTTTTATGTAATTAATGTTATTGCACTGTAATAAGTTAACAAATAATGAACATTGTTTTTGTTTTAAGTTTGAGACATGTCTATTTTAGCACTACAACATAGTTAGTTCTATTCAATATTTAGTTCTATTTGATGTCTCAGGGATGTTTGACCAAGATGGTTTGTTTTTGCCCCTAGACATGAGATACGAGACATGAGATAAAGTGTATTTCCACAGACATTGCTTCCATAATGTGGGCTTACTCTAAATAAATTTTTTTTGAAGAAGCAGCTTCATATTGCTTTTAGATTTTTATTGGTCACATATAAACTTACCAGCTGCATTTCAGATTCAAATACAGTGGTCACATCTCATTGAAAGTAAAATAAAGGAAACTGCTCCTTATTGCTACATCTACTGCATTGTTCTTGCTTGTAGAGCATAGAATTAGCATCTAAAAGTATTGTGAAAAAATATATAATGTAATTTTTTTCCCCCCCCATTATGTGCGGTACATCTTTATGGATGCATAAGCGTGTTAGTAAAGTTGCTTTGATATCCATGTAAAATATGAATTTACAGTTCAACGCACCTGACATTAACTGACCTTCTCACATTGACACCATGCTCTTTGAACTCACGGTCTTCTGCACATTTGGCATTTTCCCGTTGGACACACATCTGTGTAATAACCTTTATCTATTATATAAATATTAGTATAAATGTTGATGATAACCATCTGATAGAAAACAGCAGATAAGTAAGGCTTAAAATGCTTTTACTCATATTCAAAAAGCCTCTATTACTGGTCTTTATCAGCCATTTGTATCTATTTGAGTGGGATCTGATCATTGGATAAAATATGCTGATGAAACGGGCAGCTGCTCTTTTGAAGACTGCTTTAAAGGGAAGGACTACTTGTCTCATCAGTGCTGGCACAGTCTTTTTTTTAGTGCGAGTATCATGTTTTGAACAACAGGATCAGCTTAGGGTTCCCCTCTGATCTCTCTCTCTCTCAATCTCTCTCTCTCTCTGTTCCTCTTGTTTTCCCTCTCCTTTCTTACTCAGTCTTTTGAGACCTAGAAATGTAATGCAAATTAAAAAACAAAATGGGGTAAAAAGGTAAAACTTAAGTCACTTTTTCATCACTTTCCACAAATAGGGTATAGGGCCTGACAAAAAAAAATGTTTCTCTCTCTTTCAGTAAGGACATGCTTAACCCTTAAGAAAATGTTGATTGTACAACCACAGGAGGTCAATATTATACAAGCTGTGTAATTTTCTATTTACTTTATTCTTTTATATTTATTTTTGTAATAGCAACGATTGAAGGCTTGAACTTGACGTATACACATTTCACTGCTTGAGTGTCACAATTTAAAGTATTTTTTTAATGAGTTAATATACAATAGCATTCAAAAGTTGAACCGTTACAACTGTACGATGTTTTAATGTTAATAAGTCTGGTATATGCTGCATTTATTTAATCAAAAGTAAAACATTAATAATGTAAAATATTATTACCATTTAAAATAGCAGTTTTCCATTTTAATCTATTTTAAAATAATTTATTCCCGTGATGGCTACGCTGAGTTCTTGTCACATTAATCTTCAGAAATCGTTTTAATAAGCTGATTTGGTGCTCAAGAAATATTTTAATGATATTTATAATAATTAAACATAAAATTTGTTATTATGATCAATGTTGAAAACAGTTGTGCAGCTTAATATTTTTGTGGAAACCTTATTTTCTTTCAGTAAATGTCTTTACTGTAATTTTTAATCAATTTAATGCATCCTTGCTGAATAAATGTTTTTTTTTTTAATCTTAGATGGGATGACCAAAATCACTATTTTAAGGGGGTTTCAAACATTTAGGCCTATGTTTCACCAACGCATTCTCATCCTTTAACGTCATATAGAGCGCTATATGACAAAACGGCGCTATACTACGCACATGGCACCCGTTATCGTTAATAAAACACGTGCTGTGAGGGCTAAGTTTAGGTGTGGGGTAGGGTGTGCGTGTCATATTCACGCTAAAGGATTTATAACGTCTTGGGTTCGCGTGTTATATTAACGATAAAGGGTGCCATGTGCGTAGTATAGCGCCGTTTTTGCATATAGCGTTCTATATGACGTTAAAGGATGAGAACGGGCTGGTTTCACAGACTGAGTTTAGATTAAGCAAGCATTACGCCTTAGTTAAAATGAGTAATTTAAGTTGCTTTTATAAATGTTCATCTTGAGACAAAACATTGGCATTGACAGATTTTAAGATGTGTCCGTGCAAGTTGCTTTCAAGACAACTCAAGCAAAAACTGCAGGTTAATGTTATAATATATAATGTGTGAACTTCCAAAAACAACATTGGATTCGTGTCTACAATGCTCCACAAAAGGCCAAACTGTACCATATTTAGGAAATGTGATTTTTATTCCACCTATTTCTATGATGTATCAGTTTAATTTCTCTCTGGCCAGTAGACAGTGAATGGTATTCCTTGTCCATGCAAACTCTGTCCTTACTGAAATGCCCTTTAACCTTGGATATGTTGTCTCTGTTGGCACTGACAGCCACTGTTTATGACAATTACAAACAGCCTTATAATGCATTGTGAATCCATAGAGAATCAACCAGGCTTACCCTGGAGCAGTCGACTTAAAGCGGCCTTCCTCTCAACACTTTCAGCAGAACTGTAATCTTATTTAAGCTGTTGTTGCAAGCCAGTACTTGACCCATATTCGACAACTGCATTTTGTCATCTGTCTCTAAACGTACAGGCAGTTTAGTAATGCCAGAGATTAATGTTTAACAGAGATCAGCCTAACACGATGTTCTGGACAATGAAAGTGTCTAGCTGTAAAGTCCAGGTATACATGGTCTCATGTCAAACAGCTGGCAATTTGCAAGAGGCCTACATTTGAAATATTTTTAAAGTTGTAAATAACGATTTTGAGAGTTAAATTTTGAGTGAAAGTTCTTGACAAAATCTAAATTTTCAGTGTAGAAGAATTTCTCAATTTAAAAATGGATTATTTATTGTGCCCCATTATTCTTTTTCAGGTATTCCCTTTCATGAAGTGTGTAATATCTGTTTCTGAATGTAAAAGATATTGTCTTCCAAAAGAAAGAAACGATTCTGATCTATCTGAAGCAAATAGCCAGTACTTTCAGTCTTATTTCCTGCACGAACCT